AAATCCTTGAAAACTGCTAGACTTGATTAGTTTTGACTGTGCAAAGTTCTGTATTATGGTCTACAATATGAACGTAACAAGAGGCTTCCTCTAGTTCTGAGTAAAATTATAGAGCGACACGAAGTTTGTTGTTGTTATTTTATTTTTTTTGTCGTATTATAATTCAGTATATCAACGAATGACACCGCTTTGACTGTCATGGTGTGTGCATGAAACGAGTGTGAAATACCTGCTAATTAAGTTACTTTTTCCTATCACTTATATTGGGCACTTTTTGCATTTGAATTGGATTATTCCGACTGCTGTGTTGTTTCGAGGGTATCGGTTAATTTCTTGATTGCCATTTTGACAGTGTCTGCTTGCATATTTTATTCATGTTCAGTAGCCTAATTATCTTTAACGTAGGCTATTTGCCCCGATTTGATCCGTTTACCTGGGAAATTTATCTAAAGTTATATTTATATTATTTTGTCGTCATTACATTTTGTTTTAAGGAGTTAAAATGGCCCTTATCAACCTTGATTTACATATTCCATCACGTTATTTTGACAGTAAAAGTTTTGGGCGGTTTTTGGTGCATGCTTTTGGTCTGGTAATCGTCCATCCAATCTGGCAACACTGCCCTTCAAAGTGACAGAAGAAAGAAAGAAAGAAAGAAAGAAAGTAGATTTAGGCTGCAGGAGCAAAATTGAGGCAAAAAAGTTTGTTTTTTAGTCTATATCAAAAGCATAAAAAATGAAAAAAAGAAGAAAAAAAAAAAGGTTTTAAATAAAATGTGGTGGTAGGGTTGGCAAAATTCTTTTGAACAAAATAAATAAATCCTTAAATGAATGCACTAACTTTACAATGTCCATGTTTTTAGTTGCTGTTACAACCCACCATAGTGTGGTTACAAGAACTTAACATTAACAAGTAGCCTACTTAACATTAATTAAGTTACAGGAATGCTATAGACAGTGCAAAAGAAAAAAAGAATTACAGAGTTTGAAACAATGTTACACTCGCTAAGTTCTGAAATTCATACACTGTCTCGGTTTGTTAGGCTCAGTTTAAAGACTGGTTTTGGCCTGCTGTTATAAATATAGCCCACATTGTGCAGCACCAGTCAGTTTGACAAGTGAGCAGGTAGGAGGTAAGTCGACCAGTCAGCGTCTGCGGCTGCGAATAAATCAATGTTTTTCTTCAGTGTTGTTTAAGATATCTGTGAACACCATCCACACATCCATATGTAAACAAGAACATCCGCATGTGCGAATAGCACTGACGCCCCGCCTCGTACAGTCAAGAACAAGGGGGAGGAGCCTCGGGTACATAAACAAGTCAAGACTGTACACCGACAGGAGCGACTGCGACACAATACAAATAAAACAGAAGCATTCAAGCTGAAAAAATACATTTCTGACAGCTAATAAGGTGGGCAATCTTAAACGTTGTTATAACGCTTTTACCGCATCTTTCTGAAATGTCACATTTCTTTGCCGTTTAAGCTAACCTGTTAATGTGTTTTGTTTTCTCGAGGAAACTGCACTGATCTGTACAGTTAAATTAAGCTGATTGTTTTGTAATTAAACACTTAAATATGTCTAAACACTGTTTATTAGTTTATTAAAATGCGCCACTGAAACTTTCTGAAGGACAGTAGACAAAAGCAAAAGCTGTTTTTTTTTTATTAATGTCGTTAGTTTCTTCGATAATCCGCCTATTTGATTATTCTCATACTTCTTTATGGTAGAGTTATTTCAGTAAACAAGTCTAACTGCTTTACATGGTCAGGGCTACAGCTGATCACTCCTTCCTGTCCCACTTCACTGACGTGTATTGGGGATCATTTTAGGGTATTATTAATAAACATAACGGTGTTTAGTTTTTGACTGATGATAAAAAAAGACCAAGAAACATCGTAAACTCGTGTAAAAATAGGCCTACTAAACAAATTACAGTAAATGAACCGTCAAGCAGATGTTTTCATCACCAATATTTCAAATAAACTTTAATTATATTCTAAAGGGTCCTACAAAGTGCTATAAACAATTAGGCATTTGTGAAATGTCATGCTGGTTTAAGTCATCTGGTGTGTACAAATAAGTTATCTTTGTAAGCTGGATGCTATTCAAACCTGTAAAAAATGTTTTGTGTCTGTACACTGGGCTCATAGAATCAAGTTTGCAAAAATAACTCCTAGTTTTTGCCTTTAGCAGATTAGGATGACATGCCTGCACATATCTGATCCTGTACAGGAGTATTGATGATCTGATTCTGATTCATACATGAATTTAGTCTATAGTCAAGCTACATTTAGAAAGGAATTCCAGACGATGTTAAAAATAAGCCATCTGTGGAAGAGAACACCATGTCTCAGTTCAAGCTGATACGTGCCAAGTGCATTAGTTGTACCAGGCCAGCAGAACATAACCTTACATTTAATATTACGTAAAGCTCTCTACGGTGTCTGATGTGACACCTGAAACTCTTTGCACGTTACTTTCCATCACCAAGTTCCAACCAACAGAAGGAAAGGCACTTGCATGCAAAATATGCTCATTTCAATATCTTACTGCGAGGAAAAGATTGCATTGGGGGTCGATTCCACTAGAGGGCAACATAACTCTTCATTGATAAATATTTTTTTAACAGATAGCAGTCTTACAAAACCATCACAGAAAATGATCAGTAGAATCCTTGCACAGCTGGTGGGAAGAGAAGAGAAAGACAGCGATGTTGCAGAAGAAACTGATAACTGTGCGAACCTCCTCGAGTTTGATGATGGAGAGTGGGTTATTATAAAGATACACGGTGAGATATTTTTGGTTATACTTTTCAATTATTGATAAAAGGTGACTGATTTTTACAGTACAGTAAGTCTTGTGTTTATTGGTGTAAATAGTAATCACATCAGAGCAGGCTTAGAGTGTCATTACTTTCATTTCTAGCCTGTGTATTTTATAGTGGATATACAAGGGAAACAACCTTCATTATTTTGTCTGAATGTATCCTAGTGTGGTTTTATTGCATACAATTGTTTATCTTTACAGTCTAAAACGTAAAACTAGTCATCGTCCTTGTGGCAAACACACCTGTGTGGCAACTAGTCCCAGTATCCCTCATATTGTATAGCTTACTCACTCAAGTAATGCTGTTGAATTGAAGCCATTTATGCTTCCTGTGCAGAGAATCAGTCACTTGGCTCCGCTGACACAAACATTCTTGAGAACCTGTTGATCGAGCACCCCAGCATGTCTGTATACCAAATGAGGCGTGATCAGGAAGACCCTGGCTCAGATGAAGAAACAGGGCACATGGCTAGGTACATTTAACAACAATTACAACTTTTTAGCGAGTATCATTTCTAGTGCTAATATTCATTATTTAAATAACTTAAAATGACATGTTTATACACCATATTGTTCAAATGTTGGGGGTCAGTAAGATTTTTTTGTAATGGTTGAGCATGTAAGATGTCTCATGCTCAACAAGGCTGCAACTGATTAACAATACAATAAAAACAACAATTTTGTGAAATATTAGTTAAAAATAACAGTCCCATTTGAACATAAAATGTAATTTATTCCTGGCAAAAGATATTTATGATATTTGTAGCAGCATTACTTCAGTCTTCATTGTCTTATTCTAATATGCTGATTTGGAAATATTTATTATTATTAATTTTGAAAACAGGTTTGCTTAGTATAGGCAGTTGTGCTTAATATTTTTTTTGTGGAACCTGTTATTTTTATTATTAATATTATTAATATAAAGTTTAAAAGAACAGCACTTATTTGAAATATTAATTTGTATTGTCACTTTTGATTTAATTCATCCTTACTGAATAAAATTTATTTCTTTTAAAAACTTAAACCTTAAATCTTAATGGCCCCCATGGTAGTGTAAATAAGATGTGTATGAAATGATCTATTAAACAATATTTTAAAAACACATACACACAAAAGCTAGGTCTGTGGATTGAATTTGAGTCGCATTCCATATGGGCCACATTTATGGCTCCAGACAGCACAAACGTCATACCCAAATAATATGAAGAAAACAAATCCATTGATGTCACACTGATATGTAACCTATATATCCATGTTGTAACTGTGGTTATGTTGGCTTGTGATTGGTCAATCTACCCCTTTAGGCCTGTGCCAATCAGACGTCACATTTCGTGGCGGTTAGCTGCATGGGGCAGCCCCTTGCCCTGCAGCACCATTCTGCTCTCAGTGCAGCGTGCCAGAGTCTATAATGAGCACAGAAAGCTGACCCGTGGTGCCCTCAACAGGCAGAACCTCGCAAGAACACGCTATTCAACTTCAGAGCGCCGCTATGGCTACTTCAAACAGCCCACTCAGCGTCTGTACAACTATTGAGAAAAATCAATTGCATCCGAAACCACTGAACAACCAGCCTTGTGATAAATGAATAGTCGTTTTAAAGGGGTGTTTGCAAATCATGCCATGAAACCATTCCCCTGTGAGACTTGTATGGATTATGAAAAATGTTTTGATAAATGCAGTGTTATTTATTATCTTAGGGATAAAGCCTCACTGATAGTCCCGACACTGAAATAACTCTGAAAAGCATGTGTTACAAAACTGCAAGTGAGCTGCATTAATAGTTTAGGATTTTAACGTTTTTAAACAGTGTAATGATGTTTGTGTGCTTCTATTTTAGCTTAGCTGTGACTGGTGCATGCATATTAAGTGAAAGAAAAAACATTCAGTGTTGAAGCCTAAAATAAACTGTACTGTACAAGGCAATGCATTTTTTACATCAAATATTAAGGTGAAAGTCTATCTTAATGTTGCTCACATGACAAAGCAATATGCTGTGATTTACTGCCAGTGATTCATATTGTTATTTCATTCATAACTGTTATTTGACTTTGTATATTTAAATGCCTTTTTGGTGTTGCTTTATTTTTTATCTTCACAAATGTATTTGATAAAACCTTTTAAAAAGTGAAAAATAAATATTTGATCTTCAAATTGTTTATATTTGTTTATTTTTTTTGTACAACTGAATTACAAGTTACTCCCGAAGTTCATGCATCTTCCCCATGAGCCTTTTGACTCTCTCAGTATCCACACCATTTGCCCAGTAACCTCCTTTCTTGAAATGGGAGCCAATGATCATGGCACTTGCTTGAAGGTAGTGCTCCACATTATCATGGGTTACACCAGAGCCGATGAGAACAGGGATCCGGACAGACTGGGTAACCTCTGTAACACAAATAGGGCTCAGAAAACGGGTCAGCAAAACATGAGTGTGAGAACATCTTTCTGCTACATGCATGCATAAAAATACAAAAACATGTTGTTCCTTCATAGTAATGAGGATTCTGGCAGACTGTGGCTCATCCTCCATCTGACAGCTTCCCCAGTCCAATGGATCAGAACTAAGGGAGGCAATAGGCACAAGTCCAAAGTAGGCAGCAGGGCAGTGGCAGACTAGGCTGGGCCTGGTTTTCATGCCTATGTTTACAGCCTTCCATGATCACCAGCCATCTGGAAGTGGGATTTAAAATAGCTGGCAGTGCTGGTGTCTATGTTAGCCCATACAAGGCCACTGGTTTTGAGGGAGGGCAGGAAGCAGGCCGGGGCAGGAGACTATGTGGCATCCTTTCTGCCCAAAGGACACCACTGTTTTTAAGGACTTACACACCTGGCTGATGGTCTCCATTAGATATTAGAAGCGGATTAACCTCTAAATTAGCAGATTAACCTCTGAATGGGACTGAACACTGAGAGCGTATCACAAAATTATGCATTAGTGTTAAAGCTGTACAGCTTTGCTCACCTGGGCGGCATTTGTTTGATAAATAATACAGTAAAAACAGTAATACTGTGAAATGATGCCCAATTTAAAATAACCGTTTTCTATTTTAATATATTTCATTTATTAATTCCTGTGGTGGCAAAGCTAAATTTTCAGCAGCTATTATGCCAGTCTTCTGTGTCACATGATCCTCTGAAATGATGAAATTATGCTGCTCAAGATAAAAAAATAATAATCTTATTATCAATGTTGAAAACAGTTGTGCTGCTTAATATTTTTGTGGAAACCGTGATATTTTTTTCAGCATCCTTTGATGAATATAAAGTTAAAAAGAACTATTAATAAATTGTATCAATGTAAAAGTCTTTACTGATATTTTTATGTAAAAGTATTAATTTTCTATTTTAAAAAAAGTGAAATGCAGTGTCGGAGTGTAAAGGGACATAGAAAAGCAAAAGGCTTCGAAAATTGTTTGTGCATGTGTGGCACTGTACACATGTTGTTGACCAAATAGGTCAAACAGCATCCTGTCATTGCAGGCTACAGTTCATTCAATTTGTTTTTCTGTATGATAAACTGATCATCATAAGATACCTTGACGAATGATGTTTGCATCAGTAAATTTATAATTAGATATAGTTTGTTTTGTGAGATGTTAGGAAGCTGCAGACAAATGTCAGAATGACATATGAGATAAGTTGGCTTGTACTGTGGCAGATCAAAGTTGCCTAATTCAAACATGCACAGCATACAAGGATGGCCACAGTGTGGTCTAATACATCAAATACAAAAGTTATACTACAGTTCAAAAATTTGAGGTAAGAAAACCTCAACCTCTTTTTTCCTCAAAGATACATTACAATACGTTACTAAAGATTTCTGTTCAAAATAAGTGTTGTTCTTTTGAACTTCGTATTCATTTGTTTTCAACATTGATAATAAGAAGAAATGTTTCCTGAGCACCAAATCAGTATATTAGAAGCATTTCTGAAAGCTCATATGTCACTGAAGAATGGAGTAATGACTGCTGAAAATGCACCTTTGCCATCAAAGAAAAAAGCATTTTAATATATATTAAAATAGAGCAAAAGATATTTTAAATTGTAACAATATTGCATAATATTACCGTTTTACTGTATTTTTGATCAAATAAATGCAGCCTAGGTGAACATAATAGGCGTCTTTCAAAAACCTGCCATCTTTTAAATGCTGTGCATCGAATAGTATAAGAGGACATATTGGATAGCATCACAATTTACTTAATGATGCAATGAAGATGTAGTATGTAACATAAAAATACACACACCACTTTTACAGTCACATTAAAGTGTATCAAGCCATTAGGCTGCCAGACTCACCCCTCAGTTCCTCTGGATCAGCCTGCGCTCCAGTGGCAGTTCCTGTGACGATGACTCCATCGGAGAGGAAGAACTCAGCTGCTTGGGCCGTCTCAGCTATGCTGACATCTGAAGTTAGGGCATGAGCACTGTAATGACCGTTTTCAAATATAACTCATGTGGATGTGATCATGTGACACAATAACACAGAAACCAGCACACTGTGCTGTGCCTCTTTTAGAGCTTTGTGGCCAGCCAGTTGCACGTAGTGTACTCATATCTGATCATACCTGTGCTTTTTCTTGATGTCTGTAAAGATCTGAATATGCTCTGCTCCAATGCTTCTGCGGTAGCGCAGCAGCTCACCAGCACAAGCATTTAACAGGCCTTCATCTGCAACATGTGAGAACACAAACCCCTCTGCACGGATGAAATCCAGCCCTGTGGAGAAGTTAATATTCATTAAATATCATGTCAGAGAATACTTGGGTTTGAAATGGCATTCGTGATGGTTTGTACAGTCATGCGAACACCTGAGGCCAGGGCAACAGCCAATGCTGATTGGTTTGCAGCTGAGAGAATCTGAACACCAAGCGGCCAAGATGGATACAGGCCCCTGACTGCTGCACACACAGCTGTCATGGATGCACACACTTCTGGACCCACCTCAAGGGTGTATGGAATATCATGCATGTTTTCAATGATCAGCCCATCCTGTCATAGACAGAATTGTCTGAAATTAGCAATCAAACTTTGAGCACACTGGCCAGAAACACAAATGACAAAGGTAACATCTATTGTCTAATATATACAAGACTGTTTTGGTGTAATTTCGTTCAGTCACATTTGAAATAACATGGAAAAATATGTCCTAAAGAACGCTAGGTATGAGCCTTGCAGGCACCCGTACTGGCTAGAAGCGACGAGTAGTCAGTCCAAAGACTTTTCTGACTCGTTTCCACCAAACGGTTCTTTTGAACAGCTCGTTTCAAAGAACCGGTTGAAAAGTTCTTACTAAAACTTTCCAACAAAGCCATCTGCCATTTTCGATATTACATTAATAAAGTTGTTTATTGCAATTTCATGTTCAGTCCTAGTTCATGTTTACACCAAGAATGACAAATATACAGATGTTTACACCAACGAAAGATAATGTTCTGCTATATAGGCGCGCGTTATTGCTAAGGTTCTTTAAAATGGATCGCTTGTGATTGACTGTCAATATTTTATCCTTCATCAGTTGAAAGAAAATAGGAAAGTGATTCCATTCCAACTATATCGTTCCTCTGTGTCGTTATCGTTATATAGCAGTTTGGACTTATCATATTCTCAAAAGAATGATTATTAAAATGTTATAATTAATAACTAATAACTGTCATGATTATGCATTTTAAATAACTTTTTACACCATCAGTCCAATCCTAGATTCACTATCGAATGCTCCTGTACTCGGAATGTGGAAGATGAATCTCGGTTCAATGAGTCAGATGACTCGAGAACGGCTCGGACAGAATTTCACCGGTTCATGAATCGTTTAAACCGATCCGCCAAGATCCGACACCAGTTATTCATTGAAAAGATTCAAATGATTCGTTCACGATCCAAGCACAGCTAATACTGAGCTATTACTATAATAAACTCCAGAATGTGAGAAAGCGCGATATGATTATAATTCTATGATGATAGATGTATACGTTACATGTCACTTATATTGAACACATACAAGTCCTGCGTGGTGGTAAATTTCCGCCTCTCGACATGCCTCCTCTGTGATCTCAGAGATAGCTGCGCGGTTCAAGGGGGTTCCTGCAAAAGAAATAAATTAAAAGTTCAGTATTTCTTCTCTTTTAAGTTTGTGCTGGTGACATAAATGCGTTAATTACCTGGCAAGGCTCCGACGTGAATCATGCCTATGACATTTGATTTTAAGCGCCCGAAAAGATTGAAAAGCTTCATTTCTTCAGTGAACAAAACCCAGATTTGTGTTTTGATGGTCATGTGACTGGTCAAAGGTTATATTAGTGACAGAAAGTGCGGATCTAATGACAACACCCAAGCTACATGTATTAAATCCTCTACATGAGCACGTAAAAAATACACATTTGATAATATATTTAAAATGCTGCTGTATATTGTAGTATATAGTGTATTTCTAAGGGGGCGCCAGTCAATATAGTGAAACGGATTTGCCTGCGTAACCCAATAGCAGCAACTGGACCAGAAAAATGCACTATATTACCGTGACAACACTTGACATCTCAAACGGCCAACCCAGCACAGCCAAAACATTGCATTTTATATGTCACTAACATAATAGCGTGATAAAATTCAACTATTTAGCCCAAACACTCGGATTGTTTACTTCTTGAGCCTGCTAGCCATGTGCTCAACGTACTTCCGCTACCTCAGACCGCCCCCCCCCCAAGTGACGTCACCAAACACGAGCCTCATTTTGCCGGCAAAATGTTCACGTTTCTAAACTTTGTTTTATTGACATTAAATATTTGAAGTATAACGTCGGGATTTCGCGTGCCCGCTCCGTGCTGATGTCAATCCCCCCAGCGGCACCGATCGCAGGGCTTCGCTGCCGTTATAGCAGAGTGGGGATTTTAAATGACCCGCGTTGACGGCCCCCTTTAACGACTGCTGGCGGGTTATAAGACAAGGCGCAAAATTACTGGCGCCAGCTCAGAGCGAGCAGACTGCGGAACACGTCGCAGTTTAGCCATATGCTGCCTGCTTACAGATTATTGGAGCGGTTTTACTACATAATGGCTTTTGTAACACAATCTTAACTTTTGCATTCGAGGACATCCGTGCAGAGAAGGCATTTTCAGAGAGCATCACAATAAGGTACGTGCATTGCACAATCGTGCGGTTATTGTTAAAGATCGGTAAAAGTAACATTGAACTAGTAAAATGCATTGGAAGGGTTTGGGGAAGCAACTTTGGGAATATCGGATTGCAGAGTCTTTAGTTTCTTACTTTAAGCTGCTCAGAGAGCGGGTTCAATAAATGTGGAATAATGATTGGCTCGGCCATTTTCTGACTCCCATGGGTAGAGCAAAGCAAACGTGTAGTTTTAATACAAGCGATAGAAATATGGGCATGCACTGGAGTTGCTTTAAAAATATAGACTGTGAAGTGCATATATCTGGGGTTTTGAAGTGATTAGTTGTGTTTTTCGTGTAGTTTTGACCTCTTGAACATTGTGCCCAGCTCTACTTCCCCGCGCCCAAAGCGCTTTGTGAAGACTTACGTGAGGGGGGTTGGGATTAAACGCCACAAATCGGACATTTTTATAAAGTAACATTTTTATATTTTAGGCTCTCGACACTCAAGAAGGTCACACGCGGGGATATCATGCCAAGCAAGAAAGTGTAAGTTTCGGTTTCGTGTCTTTTTAAGGCGGTTTTGACAATCAGTGTAAGTTACATGGAAAAGTTGCAGCAGCGAGTTAGCCCAGTTAGTGTCTTCCACGGAGTTTCAGGCCAATGTGGAAATGTAACAATATAATTTTTTCGATGCAGGCTACGAACAGAGCAGGTTAACACTACAGATGAAGCTCCTACAACTATTTCAGTGCGTCCCAGGAAGAGAAAAGCAGACGTGGCTGTTGTAAGGACACCGTTCTTAAACTAATACTTGCATACTAAAAACTCTGAAAGATTAAGGCTCTGCCTGTTTTGTTTTTGAATTTACAGCATTTACAAGATCCAGATGAAGAGATCACAGAGATGACAAGAAAGAAACCATGTGCTTCCCAGGTATAAATGAGTCATGACTGGTGTGTGTGTGTGTCCATAGGCCTCATCAGTCATGGCATATCAGTGACCTTGAACTTATTTCACTTTTATTTTAGGCTCTTCTGTAGATTGCAATGTGATGTATAATGAGACCTGTGTCTAAAATGAATTGAAATTAATGTAATATTGTTTGTGATAAATGTATACGTAGATTCTGAACCTAATATCAAGGCCATAGCAATGTTTTGGACAATGTCTTTTTGGATGAAGCGAAGCAGAGTTGTAATGGTCTTTTTATTTAAAGGAATGAAATTAAAGATTTAAATGGTTTTAAAGGGGTCATATGGTGCTTTTTTTTTAAAGATCATTATTTTGTGTATTTGGTGTAACAGAATATGTTGACATGCTTTAATGTTCAAAAAACACATTATTTTTCAAATACTGTACATTACTGTAGGTCCTCTATGCCCCGCCTCTCTCAAATGCTTCGTTTTCTACAAAGTCCCTCCTTCCGACAAGCGCAGTCTGCTCTGATTGGCCAGCTGACCCAGTGCATTGTGATTGGCCGAACACCGCAAGCACTCGTCGGAAATGTAACGCCCCTTACCATAATCGCGAGCTTCAGCTTTCAAAATAAATGTAAAGACAGAGCCCGAAAGGGGAACAGAGTCGCGTGACAGACACAGTGATGAAGCTGGTATGTGTTTGCAGTACACAAGCCACGGTTAAGACAGCTGACTCCACTGATGTGACCCTCTCTCGCGCTCTCTTTGGCTCTCTCTCACACACACACACACACAATGCGCAAAACTCCGCATCCGCATTTGAACAG